TTTTTTTTTTTTTTTTCAGAACCGGGGATTGAACTCAGGCCCTTGCGCTTGGCAGGGAAGCGCTTATTCCACTGAGCCATCTCCCCAGCCCCTTGAGCCATCTCCCCAGCCCCTGAATCTTTGCCACCAGATCCTTCATGAGGTTAACATTTACATCACATTACAGCAAATTAGCTCCTTGAGGACGAGTGAATCAATCATTCTTCAAAAACTGTCTTAAGACATAAAATAGAAGCTAGATGATACTGTGAGGTTCCCAGTATGGATTGTCCCCGTCCAAGGAAAGACCTGGGTTTAGATACACATCTATTCTCAGTACACGGGCATTCTCCCTTTGACCTAATCCAATGGGGCTTTGCCTTCTGGTAGTTCTTTCTTCTTCTTCCCCTCCTTTTTTTCTGAATTTTTAGGAAAGGGTTTACAGCATGTTCAGGGTCTTACTACTAGTGAGACTCTAGTGATTCTGTTTACTGCCTCCCAACTGCTGGGATTACAGGCACGCGCCACCACACCCAGTCTCAATCCCTGTCTCAGCATGCACCAGGGGCAGGGCCAGCACATCAGGCCCAAGATTGAACCCCCAGCCCCTTCAACTGCTTGCAGGCGCTTTAACTTGCTGAGCTATTTGGCCTGCCCTTATCTAGTAGTTCTTACACTTGGAAATGACTTACAAATGAATGGGTGGTGAAGAATACGCTACATTTCCAAGATCATTTAGTAGTGTGATGTCAAAACTGCAAGGGAAGCCAAAGTTAATTATTAGAAAGAAGTGTGACTTAAAAGACCGTTAAACAAAACCAGTTTATAAAATTGGGAGGTAATGTAGGTAAACACCTCGGTAATCTTTTCATTCCACTGAGGAGAGGACTACCAGAGTAGAACAGATCAGAGGAGGCAATTTATTTCGCTTATGGTTTCAGTGTGCGGCCAGAAGGCCCCAAGGAGGAATGTCACAGTGGATGGGGCTGGCAGTGGAGAAGGGCTCAAGCCCTCAAGAAGCCAGGGGAGGAGCTCACCGCGGAGGAAGGCGCATCCCAGTGGCTCACCTCCTTCACCTCACTTGCTCACAACCCACTGGGCTCTGACCTCACCAGTGGATTCATCTGCATTATGCAGTTAGAGCCCTCAGGGTCCCATCAGGTCCCCAGAGCCCAGTAGCCAACAACCACAGTCCACACAATGAGCCTTTGGAGGACGTTTCAGATCATGGTCTTAGCAGTGGGACCCACGCTATTCCTTTCCCACTGAGCTGGCTTGGTCTGGCCAACTCTCTTTTGGAATATCCATAAATGTAATCGTCAGCTAACTGTCCACTTACATGCACTTGTATGAAATCACAAGTAGTCATTCACCTGACCGTTCACTGATTTTCTCAGAGATTGTTTCATTCCTTTTTCCCCTTAAAACTCTCAATTTCCGTATGTACATTGATACATTTAGGCGAATGCTGCAGCCTGATACCTGGTGAACAGCAGGACTCATTTAATCATCAAGCAGTATCATCGAGGTTCTATTTTATGTCTTGAATAGTTTTTAAAGAATGATTTAATTGTCCTCAAGGAGCTAATTTGGCTTACCGTGGTATAAGTGTTAACCTCATTAAGGATCTGGTGGCAAAGATTGTTAGACCCTCTCTGCAACACAGAGGGGGCATTTAGAGGAATACACTGCAAGTCAAGCATGATTAAATCATGCTTTATCTTTTGAACTAGGACACCGTTTTCTGGGCTGAGCTGGGGCCAAGACTGATTAGTCATGGCAAAATCAGTAATCTTTAAATTCAAAAAAGTTTAATTTTAACAGCAGTTTCAGCGTTGGGGCGTTAATAAAACATCATTTGACTTCTCCGGTTTATTTTCTACTCAGAGGAGCTGCTCACTGCCAAGCGATCTTTCGAGTCTTAATTGACCAAGTGCCACATTTGATTTTGCTGGTGAGCCCTGTGGAGACTTTCCACAGCTGGAATTATGGTATTTTTTCTTGTATTTAAAATTGGCAGGCTGCAGGGTGCCATGGTGTGTGCCTGGAATCCCAGCACTCAGGAGGCTGAGGCAGAGGATTGCGAGTTCTGTGAGTTTGTGGCCAGCCTGGGCTACAAAGTGAGTTCAAGGTCAAAAAAAAAAAAAAAAAAAAAAAAAGGCAGTCAAAGGGGCATCTGTGTCTCAAGTCAGAAGTCCACATGTATGTGTGCTCTCTCCCAATGGGGCCTGCAGCACAGCGGGCTTTGCCCCACAAAGTGTCCCGCTGACCTGGCTCACTGTTACCCATCTCTTTGAAATCCTTTTTCCAGTTCCAACTTCAGTTTACCGAGGAGTGAGGTGAGAGACAAGCACAGCACTCCAGGAAAGAACTTCTAAACCTACCAAACTTTAGCACCCGACTCACCAGTCTTTCTCTAAAGTGTCCTGTAGCTACCTTCCTGCACAATCACTCTCCCAAACCTTCCCTTTCTTAGCAGCACAGGCCAAGAGCGCTGTCACTGAACAAATACACTACATGTTTCAGCCAATTCCTTGCCCAAGGGCAGCGCGGTTCCTGACCCGACCTGGGAAGCCGGCCTGGTTTTCGCACCCTCAGGGTGCCCGGGCCAGGGGCTCCCAGGAGGCAGGCGGGGTTTAGACGATCGAATAGGAGTCCGTGGGTACAGGGAGAAGTCGAGGCTCGGCAGGGCCCGGGCTGGGTGCTTCCCCGCCCAGCCCAGCGCCGCGCGCGCCAGCTCCTTTGTCTCCGCGCCTCTTCCTCCTCCTCCTCCTCCCGCCGCTCCGCGCCCGGGGCTGCTGACGCGGCCCGCAGGAACGCGCTTCCGGAGGGAGCGCCGGGCGGCTTCCTGCGGCGGCCCCGCCTCCCCGCCTGCTCTCCCGCGGCCGGGGAGGAGGCGCCCGAGAGCCAGGCGGCGGCACCGGCCGGGAGCGGCGCGGACGAGCGGCGCCGGGAAGGTAGGGCGGGAGTGCGTCGGGGAGCCGGCCGGGTTCCGCTGTCCCGGCGAGCTGCGGGCCGAGGCCCGGACCCGACCCGGCGGTTCCGAGGCGGCCGCTGCTTTGTCCCCGCTTCCGTCGCCGCTGCCCGTCCGGGCCGAGTACTGCGGCACCGGGAAGGGGGCGCTGCGGGGAGGCCGCGGGGCCGGGATCCGGGCGGCCGGGGGTCGGAACCAGCACCGGGACGCGGGGCCCAGGCCCGCCCGGCTCGATCCCGGTCCCCCGCCGGAGGCCGCGTGGATGGGACCCTGTGGGTGCGTCCCGGAGAGTTGCATCCCCGCGGTGTGGGTGTGATCCGGGACTTGGCACCTCCGGCGGGGTCCCCGCGAGAGGCGCGGCCGTGGCCTGGCTGGGAGGGGATCGCGGGCGCCTGGGCCCGGCGGGCGGCGGGGAGCTGGAGTGTTGCTGCTCCCCGATTCGCAGCCAGAAGGACTGGGGTTCAGGGAGCTGCAGGAGTCCGCCTGCGGCCGTCCTGGAGCCCCCGGGGCCTACTCCAGAGCTGAGCTGGAACTAAGTAACCTTCCCTAGCAGCAGTGTAGTTGTGAAAATCAAACGTCAGACTTCTGACCATTCTCTTCCCTTCATGGAATATTAGATTTTTCCAGCAGCTCACAGTGTCAACGATAGTATTATCGGTAAGATTTCTTTGGGGCCTCATTCCACTTAGGTGCTTAGGTGGTGGGATTGCTAGGTGGTTCTGTATTGTTTTGATGGTATAAAAACAAACGGGTTGAATTTTGATTAGATTCCTTAAACCACCTACACCCTTTAGGCCATATATTAGGACACTTTTAATAAATGAATGAGAAATCTTGTTAGAAGTCACCAAATCCCTCAGTGTGGACATCAAGGTCCAGCTATTCTGTATGTGGACATTAAGAGGACTTAAGACTCCTGTTAATAATGTCCATATTTTAAGTAATTTTGGTTCATTGATCCATATTAAATAGGTTCCTGAAGATGATAAAATGAGAAATAGAAATCACATAAAACAGATGAGTCTTTTTTTCCCAGGCTTTTGGGGAAAGTAGACTTCATTATTAGAATATTAATTAAAAAGGGAATTGGTTAATACTTAAGTAAACAGCAAATACACTCCAGCCTCCCTCACTTCCTGACTTCACAGACATAGTTTTCAGTATTTGATTTTTTCTCAAAAGAACAAACAATCCCCTTAACAATCCGTGATGTGAAAAATAGGGAATCAGCAGTTTTGAAAAACAGTGCATTTTGTCATTTGGCACCCAGCGCAGGGTCCTTCGTCACTGCCTGGTCAGTGTAGTTTAAATCAGTCTGCCCCCAGCTGCCATTGCTGACTAAAATGTGGCTCTGAGTTGATGTCAGTGAATTCCTGACTCCAGAAAGGGCGCCGGAAATCTCTCCTCACTTTGTCACATTGAAAATGAATCTGATGGTCTGGCCTGGTGCTGGTTTTCTTGCAAATGCTAGTCGTGTCATTATTGTTTAGCTTCTTGCCGAATAAACTGTGGCATATTTACATGGGGTGTGCAGGACAGTATTCAACCCAAGGACACCTATTCCTCACTAGTGTTTAGTGAGTAGTCTGGTTTTCCCTGAACTGTTATCGGGGTGGTAAGATAAAGCATCGTGGGACTGCTCAAAGTTTCAGAGAATGTTTGAGTTCCGAAGAGTTTTAATTTCTGCATGAGTAACAGACTGAATTTATCAGAGTATTCCGATGGAGTACTGTTAATTTTAGATTGCCCCACTTTTATGTGAGGTGGGTGGGTGAGGCTGTGGGTGGAGCCGGAGGGGATTATATAGTGGAAGTGTGTAAAAAGCCTGAATTGCTGTTGGCAGTATTTATTCTGAGCTAGTTGTAGGTTTTGAGGCTTGTGTCTTTTTATCTTGCTGCAGAGGATGGCTTTCTTGGGGAAGGAGGGGCGGGGTGCTTCCCTCTGGCCTCTGAAATAGCAGCCTCTTTGGCTGCAGGAAGTTCAAAGAACGACACATCCATGCAGTGCCTTAAATTCAGAATATCGGCTGCCTTAGAATAGGTCAGTAAGGAGTTCAGGAAAGCAGCGCTGCTGCTTCAGGAGTTGTGCTAGAAGGGCCCAGACCTGCCATGGGACATCCCTCATCCATTCTAGAAAGGTTAAGTAGAAGGCTGAGAACTTCACTTTCCAGAGTGAAGTTTTGTTTATAAGTTTAATATGGGTTTTAAAAAGTCAGCTAAATTTAAACTTTTTGGTTTGTGGCCTTTGAAGATAGGTTCACAGTATGGTACGTAAACAGTGTGTTTAGTGTGTATATGTCACCTCATGAAATGTATGAAAAAGCTGCTTGAAATTATATATATATACACATATGTGTGTATGTGAATATTTATTTCTTACTTACAGGACCAGAATTATTATACAGGGCTTCAAATACAGGTTCCTGACCCTTAGGGAATATAAAATGACCTGGAGTGATGATACATGTATTTGCAATTTTATAAAGCTTAAGGTTTTTATTATGATTCTTATGGTTACTGTAATTTATAATACCTTACTGTGTTGCTACCGAAGAAGTATACTTATTCTAATCTGGAAATAAATGTATATATTTTGGGTAACATATACTCCTTAAGTTTTTTTTCTTTTTCTCTTTGTGTTCCTGGGGATTGAACCCAAGGCCTTTGTGCTGAGCTATGTTCCTAGCACCTTCCTCCCCTTTAAATTTTTGAAATAGGTTCTTGCTTAGTTGCTAAGCTGCTTAGTTGGTAAGCTGGGCTTCTTGTGAGCTTCCTGCCTCAGCCTCCTAAAGTACCAGGATGACAGCACACCCAGCTACTCCCTTTTCTGGTCTTAGGAGTGGTGAAGAAAGGCTTTGCAGATCCCTGATGTAGGGCAATCATAGATTGAGGCTGGGTACAGAAGCACTGTGTTGAGGAGGGAACACGATTTGGCGTCTGCAGTAAGAGGTGAGAAGTGCAGCGTGAACGGCTCTGGGGAGGGGGTGCCCTCTAAGGGGGCTGGCCGGGCAGCGCACCCACCCACGCACCCACACACCTACCCACTCGCCTGCTGCAGGAAGGGGAAATGCCGAACTCAGCCGCTAGAGGGGGCTGGAGTGCGGTGAATGCGCAAGGCAGACCCTGCAAAGGATGCTTGGCGGGGACTTGGGGCTTGGCGGCTCAGTCTGTTGCACCAGGCTGTGTGGGGTGCAGGGCAGGGCGACCCAGGAACCCTCAGTGGGCCCGGGTGAGTGAGAGGAGTACGGTCTAGAAAAGCAGCATGTCCCCCTCTGTTTCTCCTCTGACTACTAGTTCTTTGAATGACTCTGTCCCAGAGGCGCCTTTCAGGGAGAGAGACGGCATAGTTCCCATCCTCTTGTGGTGGTTTCCTTGGGGCGCCTTGGAGAAGCAAATGAGAAAGCAAAGGAAGCCTGGGCTCCCCTGCGTGCCCTGCCGATGAATTCCAGGTGACCAGTGTTGGAACTCCGCATCTTGCGGGCCTTGGCTTTCCCACCTGCCCTGCAAGGTGGTGTCCAGGGTTCCTCATCCTGCCGCCTGGCCTGAGTGCTGCAGAGCACGGTTCTGCCCACGCAGAGGTTCTGTCCTGTGAGCACTGTGCTCCCCAGTCGCCCTGGAGCAGCAGGTGCTGAGCCAGATGCCCTATGCTGCGAGCCCGTGCTGGTGCCGCTCTTGATCGGGTGACTCAGCTCTGCGTGATGCAGAAGCTTGTCCATCTATCAGTGTTCTGAGCCTCAGGGACTGAAAAATGCCGTGCTGAGTGACTGTAAATCACTGAGTTGGCGTGGCCTGGCATGTTCAGTGAATGTCTAGTTGGGACACGTTCTGTTCAGGAAAACAGCACCAAGGACTGTTTATGTAGCGCCCCATGTGGTATGAGGTGTGCTACATGTTGTGAATGCAGAAATTTTTAAAAAAGTATTACAGTAAAAGATGCAGAGCCACGACGCCTGCCTTGCTTCAAACGCACTTAGCCCGACCTTTCTGCCGCTCTCTGAAGCCCTTCTGGAAATCCTCATTCACCAGGGTCTTCACGAGGTGTGACAGTGCTGCTGCTAGCGCCACCTGGTGGGCTCCTTTCTCCCTGTGTCTGGCGCCCGGTGACTCCTGGCTCTTCCCAGGGTGAAAGCAACCGTGAAAAGTAGACATTTTGAATCCGCTGAGGAAATCCAGGCCGCCACAGCCACCCAGCTCGGCCCTCAGTAAAGAGGTAGGGCATTCTGAGGAGGATGAAGGATGGTGTAATAAATGCTGTAATAGATGTACAAAACTAAACATCTGCCATATTTTGTATCACACCTCATATTCTCTTTAAATAAAAGGAGTATTGAAAAGCAACTATACTTACACTTCATAGCGCAAATGAAAACAAAACACATAGGTTACAAGAGTAGTAAAATATAAAATAGTGTTAACTTACCAGAAAGTTTGCAAGTCATATTCTCTTAATAACTTTTTATTTTATTTTATTTTATTTTATTTTATTTTATTTTTTTGAGATAGGGTTTCACTATATGTTTCAGGCTTCACTCCTGCGTCAGCCTCCTGAGTGCTGGAATTGCACTCTCCTAATAGCATGTGAGAAAAAAAGTCAGCATCGGCTTAAGTGGTTTTGGAAGACTTGGTGGAAGAAAAGGGTCCTGAGCTTAGAATATTGTGTGTGAAGGTAGGGGTGACAGGTGGGTGACAGAGCCAGAGCATTACACACAGCTACATTAGGTAAAAGTATTGTAGGAAATCAGACAGGGCAAGGCTCCCGGAGGCATGGTGCAGGAGATGAGAACACATTCCCACTGTGGCTGGAGGCATATCCGTCCACGGCCAGGTCTGAAGATAAAGACAGAATGACGGGTTCTCCGTGCTTCCTCGTGCACTGAGCGATACGTTATAATAGATAGCACCTAGCTCAGGAGAAGCTAGCTGGACACTCGCCACCCAGGTGGGTTCCTACGTGACCTGCTTGCTTTGTTACCTAATGTTATGTGTGAGGCATATATTAGAATGAAGGCCTGAAGTCTTAAGTCTTATCTGTCAAGGGACACAGACATGAATACAAGTAGTTATGATAGAAGTTCGAATAAAGTAAACACCCTTTTATGCATCCGTGAAGGTCTGTCATTTACCTTGGTAGCACGCTGCCACAAGAAGTGGCGCATACTTGTAATCCTGGATACTCAAGAGACTGAGGCAGGAGCACAGAAATTTGAGGTCAGCCAGGGCAAGTTAGTGAGACCTTGTCTCAAGATAAAGTGATGTTGCTGGGCTTGGGGATGCTGTAATTCCAGAATTCAGAGGCTGGGGCAGGAGGAAGCCGAGCTGCAAATTCAAGACCAGCCTGGGGTACATAGTGAGTTCAAGGCCAGCCTGAACTACATAGTGAGACCCTGTCTCAAAAGAAAAAGAAAAAAAAAGTGTGCATATGTGTGCTTGGATATACATAGTTCAGTGGCAGCCCCCCCCTGGGTTGGACTCCCCAAAAAAATAAATTTGGGGACCATAAAGACAGAAGTATTTAATTTTGTGTATTATTCTTCTTGAAGATGCAATGAAAGCCAAAAGAAAGGCAGAAGGGGAAAAGAAATATTAACATTTTGTTTTGCTGAGAGGGAATATAGTTTTAGTCCAGAAAAAAGGAACTTTTTTTTTTTTTTTCCAAAA